CTATTACTTCCAGAACCTTCCGGGACTGCCTTACTGAGTGAGAGCTGGAGCCCTCCTCCTGTTCCTGTAGCTGCTCCTCCCCCTGGGAAGCATCCCCTCCCACCACGCCAGGTGGTTCCACTGGTAAAACATCTCCAGGGCATTCTTCTGGAATGTGCGTGATTCCAGTATTCCACAACAGCCAGTTGGGCAAGTTTAGAAATCCTGGTGACTTCGCATCTCCCACTCACCTGGAGCACTGGAGGGACTGTTTCTTCTTTGTCCATCTTCTTATGAGAAAGTCTTAGGAGGGGTGTTCCCTCAGAGAAAGCAGGTGGCCCCACCTCGGAATAGATGAACATCCAGATTTATACAGAGGAACAAACAGACTCTCACTACTGAAAGGTAAATTTTGTCAGTGCTTTTAAGGGAAGGAAATAACACAGGCCTGAACGTCTGTGGACCCAAGTTTAGCTCCACTACCTATCCCGAAGATGACTGTAAGGGTCCAATGAAGGGAACATAGGTGAAAGGACTTTATAAATACAATTAACTTATTAGTTATTATTATGTAATTAAATTTACAAAAACATCTGTCTGGTGTATAAGGGAAACTCGCTTATGTAAGCTAGCTGAGGTTGTTTTTTAAAGGCCCTGTTCTAACTCTTTAAAAATGTGGGGTGAGGGGCGCCTGGGTGGCTTAGTCATTAAGCGTCTGCCTTCAGCTCAGGTCATGATCCCAGGGTCCTGGGATGGAGCCTTGCATTGGGCTCCCTGCTCAGCAGGAAGCTTGCTTCTCCCTCTCCCACTCCTCCTGCCTGTGTTCACTCTTTTGCTGTATCTCTTTGCCAAATAAATAAATAAATAAAATCTTTTAAAAAATAAAAATAAAATAAAATAAAATAAAATAAAAATGTGGGGTGATTCCAAGAGGCACATATTATGGGGACAGACAGGGACAAGACTTATATCAAGGTGAGTGTGACTAACATCTGTAGCAAAGAAAACTTAGGAAATCCTTTCATCAGGATCCTGGTTGCCCACCTGTCACTTCTGATCCAATTTTCATTAGCATCCGTAGGTGAATAAAAATATGTTTGAGTATCACCCTATATAATTTTATAATAGTTTTTGGTACTATTTCCTCTGACTTCCCATCTCACACTCCCACCCTGTCAAACGGGTGCTGAGAAAAGTTACGAAATGAGTCTTCTCCACCTTCCACAAACACTCTCTGTGCACCCCAGCTCTGTGATAACTTGTTCCCAGGAGGGCGAACTTCTTTCTCCCTTCCGCTTCACTTGGCCTTGATGGAAAGTCTCACTCTTTCCCTCTCTCTCCCATTGCATCATCCTGGTCCCTGCCAGGTGCTTTCTTCTCCTCCGGACATCAAGATAGTTTCAAAGGGTGCTGTGTGAAAGGGAAAGCTCGCCTGGGTGAGGTTAGTGACTTTGACCAGAGACAGTCAGAACAGGCCAGTGATAATACGCTTCCTGTTTTCTCACGTCTCTTCCCCTGAGCCTCAAGGGCTGACCAGAGTTTCTCTGTCTACACCTCTTTAAGCACTTGAATTAATTGCAGGCTGGTTAGGAAATAATCTGTCCTCAGTTGGATTCCCAGGAGACAGACCTCTGTGTGAGGTGGAGATTTGTGTGCAAGACTTTTGCTGGGGAGCACTCTGGAGGGTGAGGGCAGCGAGAGCACAGGGGAGCACTGGGTACAACAAAGTTCTGGCCAGATCCCACCAGGAGCTCTGCAGCTCATAATGCCCTTCAGAGCTGTTATGGCTTGAGGTGTGGACAGGGGGCCTTATCACCAGTCCATGGCTATGTACTGCCCCTGGGGAGGGGCTGTGCCCTTGAGCTCCGTGGTTGGCTGAGGGCAATCCCCTGAGAGAGGCTCACCTGGGAGCCCTCAACCGCCAACACTCTCAGCAACTGGGGAAAAGAGAGCCTCAATTCTGAGCGGGCATCTCGGTGGCCCTCCACACCCATTACGACAACTAAAGTGGTGTCCTGACATTGTTTAACGTTCAAATTTTAAATTTTACAAATAAAAATGCCATCGTAAGTGAGTGCGAATTGCTTGGCATGGTTCTATCCAAAAATATTTTTGTAGATTCAGAAAGAGTAAGCCAAGCGCCATGAAGAAATAATTTTGTCACTAGACAGCCACACTGTAAAATACTGACTTTAATGTAAAAAGTGTTCCAATTCAAAGAAGGAGCTGATGAAGGTGGGTTGAAGAGAGAGAGAATCCCAAGCAGACTCCCCGCTGGGCGGAGCCCGAGCCCAGTGCAAGACGGGACTTGATCCCATGATCCTGAGATCACAACCTGAGCTGAAGCCAAGAGTCTGATGCTTAACCAAATGCACCACCAGGGTGCCCCAAATGGGGGAAAGATCGGAGCAGATACCTCACCGAAGAAGATACTGGAACGCAGGAGGAGCGGGAGGGAGAAGACGGGGAGGGAAGAAGGGAAGAGGTGAGGAGATGAGGGAGGAAGGGGAGTGAGGGGAGTGAAGGGAGAGAGAGAAGCCAGGGAACTGCTGACAGGAAGCTTGCCTTGGAGGGAGAGACAGGAGAAGCCCCATCACCAGGGAAATGAACGGCAGGGTTTAGGAAGCCACACTTCTGAGTGTCTCTTTTTGAGGTGCCAAAAAGAAGCCTGTATAGAGTTTAGGGTGCCCTAGTCAGAAAGAAGAAAGCTGTGCTTATCTTAAAAAGGACACAGGACAGACAGTAGGATGGATATCTCTGACACACACAAGACAGTTGAGGTCATGCTGGAATGCTCTCTCCCTCAACAAAGAGCTGAGGCTTTTACTGCAATCCCTCTGAAGTTGTCTTGAGATACCGACCAGGGCAGCAGCTAATCAGACAGCTTTACTTTTCAAGTGTATTCCCGGCTTCTGCATGCCAGTGAAATCACCCAGCCTCTGTCCCTGGGCTTCACACTTGCAAGGTTCATATGAGACATCTGACCGTGACCACCGACTTCCTGTGAAAATGTAAGCGGAAAGAGTGTGCATTCCTTTGGGCTGCGGTAACTAGCGTGGGGCTGGATACTGTTCCTTTCTGCCCCAGCTGACCTCAGGACCTGAGCCCTTGCCTGCTTAGACCTGTCCTAGCTTCTGGACTCTTCCAGCAGCCCCTTCCTTTTGCAACACACACATGTACTTACATGGTATAAAGAAAGTCAAGGTTAAATGATATTACTAACCACAGATGTTTAGGAGAATAAATGACTTGAACCCTAGTTTGCCTTTGTTTTACTCTCATTCTTTTCACATACTTAGAAATCTTTTTTTTTTTTTTTAGGAGAGACCATCCCCAATTTGTAGATTACCCCACAGTTACAAAAGACAGCTTTGACACTTCTCTCCACTTCGCAATGGCAACTATGACCTCCATGGAAACCAAGGGGAGAAGAGGGAGGGAAAAAACAAACACTGGTGCTCTCAGGATCTACAGGATGGGGAGTGAAGGCATGGGATCCACTGTGAAAACTAGCAGTATTTTAGGGGACTTCACTAGAGGAAAGATTCCCAAGCAGGACCAGCCTATTGGGAAGGTGACCACTCTGACCCAGTATTTTCCTACACTCACAGGAAACCTTTGCTCTCCTGCCACAAGGCAAATCAAAGATTAACTTGGATCAATAAGCATCTTATTCTGACAATGGGAATAACTCTGGACTGACTAAAGGCCTACTAGGCATTGCTCCATGAGCATGACTAAGTTGAAAGCTTCCAACTATCCCCTTATGGAAGTCAGCCACACCGAACAAACAAGAGTTTGGGTTGAGGGAGTAGAAACTCAAGTAAATTTGGGAAATGGAATGTTTGAGTAGGACGAGTGGGGAAACACTTGGAGCAAGGTGAGAATGGGCAATAGGAAAGGAGGCACCAGGGGGAAAAAGTGAGCAGGAAAGGATCGTGGACCTGATGACCAGCCACAGAGGGGCAGCTCAGGAAAGCATCATGGTCCACGCACTGTATGGAAATTTCTGCAGCAATGTATAAAATGATCACTAACCTCCACTGCAATAAGAGAAATGCTCTGATTTTATGTGACGATAGCAAGAGGCATAAGAAAGAGATGTCAGAATTTGACAAATACGAACTTCGTCCAGTTCAGTATTTTTGCTGGAGATGGACTTCTCCTTCTCCTCCTTCTCATGGTCTGGAAGAGGACCTAATAGGGGACACTTTGGACTGTGGGGAGGAGGGGAACATCCTATGGGTAGTGCAGCAAAAACTTAGAGACTGGACCCTTCTCAGCGTTACGGAGCAGAGTAATACCAACCGAGACTTGAGCCCAATAGAGACTTCAGCTTCTACCTGGCCTGAGTCACTGTTAACCCGGCCTCATGCAACTAAACTTATGTCCTCCCCAACGTTCCCAATGTCCAGCCACCTGCCCTACTTCCTAATATAACACTTCAAGGCACTTCTGCAATTTGAATAACTTTCCATTTTGGGATGACTGTGTGGCTCAGTCGGTTAGGCATCTGCCTTCAGCTCAGGTCATGATCCCAGAGTCCTGGAATCGGGTCCCATATTGTGCTCTCTGCTCAGCAGGGAGCCTGCTTCATCCCTCTCTTTCTGCCCCTCTCCCTGCTTGTGTGTTCTCTCTAATCTTTAAAGATTTTTATTTACTTCACAGACAAAGATCACAAGTAGGCAGAGAGGCAGGCAGAGAGAGAGGAGGAAGCAGGCTCCCTGGTCAGCAGAGAGTACAATGCGGTGTTTGATCCCAGGACCCTGAGATCATGACCTGAGCTGAAGGCAGAGGATTTAACCCACTGAGCCACACAGGCACCCCTCTCTAATCTTTAAAAAAATAAATAAATAAATTTCCATCTTGTTCTTCAGTGAAGGAGTTATTGTCCACTTTCTACCTATAATTAGTATCAAACAGAGAGTAGAGCTTATTTGAAAGTAACTTTTTGTCAAACCCCAGGCTTGGGCAGCCATAATTCTTTCAAATATTAAGAACTGAGATGCCAGACCACAAAGCATTGTATAGATTTTTATTATTTTACTATTAAAAATTTTCAATCTCAAAATTGGTTAATTTTAAAATAAAAACTAACCATATATTTGTTTTTATACATTATATACACTTGAGAAATAAATAGTGTTGTAAGTGTTTAAAAAAAGAAAAAACAGCATCATTATATACAAATAAGGCTTCAAGCCAAATGTATAAATACATGACCCACCGAGGAATTGATTCCTAAGGCTTTCATTACTAAAAACAGAAGTCAGGAGTAATCGGGACACACAGTCAATAACACAGGCTCCACTTTGGCTAGAAACCATTCACAGAAGCAACAGAGGAAGCACACAATTTAAGAAAACAACCTTGAATTCAGACTTGACTGGTTACGTCTTCGGAAGTTTGGCATTGACCAATGACACAACTTTGGCACAACACGAATGATAGATGGCACAACTACGTCCTTTAAAAACCTCAATCTCAATACAAAGAAAATCACTCTTCTCCCCCAACCTGACATCACATATCCCTCCAAATAAATCTCATCCATAAAAAGCCCAGCCTCTGGGCTTTCAGTTGCTTTCCTGGTTATATATTAATAAAAGGGTTTATGATTTTATGAAGGGCTCTAAAAAACAATTCCTTGCTCGTCACATCTGGGGCACACTGGTGGGAAAAGGCTACGGACCTCTTGACCAAGTGGCAGAAATGAGCACACTACGGACTTGCCTCCCAGAAGTCTGGGTCATCCCTGACTCCACCACCAACTTGGAATATAGTTCCGGGCATGTGGCCGGAAGCGAAGCCCCAGAGTTGTCCAGCAGAGACATGAGCTGCCCTGCACCTCCCGTTGTGAGTCTCTAGTTAGGTGATGCACATGCAAATCTTTGGAAAAGTATAAAACACTTTCCCAGATATCACATCTATTCATTCATATTAAGACCAGGACTTGAAGGCTTTTCTGTGCTCAACACAGAGAAGGCACGGTTGGTAGAGGAAGGCAGTCCAAGGAGGAGGAAGCGCTCTATTAAATCTTAGTGCCGGCTCTGCTCCACGGGGGCTGGTTTCTGCAGGAACGGACCTGTAGAACAGATCCATAATGCCTTCTATCTTCCTAAGCAGAAGAGATTCTGCTCTGAAGCCGTCACATTTGGCGACTGGCCACCCTTCTGTCCCCAGCACGTACGGCACTCTGCTTGCTCCCATGCAAGTGATCAAACATGTCGCTTTTCCCGAACTGGCTGAAATCCCTGAACGCCTGGGATCCCCAACTCTCACACCCGGTAGCCCCCAGCACCGCCCCCCTGCAGTGTCCCTCATGCCCCTCATCGCACGTATACCCCTGGATCACCTACAGTGAAAGGGAGTTTAGAAATCCCAACCCGCTCAGATTCTAAGTCTGGGGAGGTTTATGAATGTGTCTCCTGCCATGTGCTATTGAGGGTTAAGTGCTTAACAAACATTTGTCCAATCAAAAAATAATCAACAGAAAACCGAGAAAGCCAATGGTGTGTGCTTTAGAGAATGAGCCGGAGAGCAGGACGGAATGGCTGAAACGTAACCAGTAGTGATCAGGGCAGCCCACGGAACCCCAACAGTGAGGGCCTCGCCACCACCCCAGATCGTCACCCGCTCTCTCTGGATGAACGAAGTCACAGGTCTGCCATCCAGACACGAGTCAGCTCCCAGCACAGCGACCGCTCCCCACCTCTCAGGTCAGGTCTGGCAGCTGACAGCCTTCCACGTGCTTCCACAAGTGTTCTGTATCAGGGAAAGCACGGACTCATCTAGTCCCTTAGAAACCAGTCCGGTGTGCACAAGAGACCCCGGGCCTTTGACCCTTTGCACACAGGTTTGGAGTTAGAGCTATTCTAGAGCAGCAGGAAACAGCAGGAACAGCAGTGCGTGGTCCCCTCTGGTGAGAAGTCCCAACCGTCATAGGAGGTAAGATCGTGGGCCCAGCAAAGAGACTCCTCCGGGTGCTCGAGGGTCCAGGCCAAGAGGGGTCCTTCCATCAGGGGCATCCTCAGCTGTAACTTTCCTCCGTGTCCCTGGAAGGTAGGGGTGGGCGGGCCTGGCTGGCCCCTCAGAGAAGATCCATAGCAAGGCTGTAGGGAACCCTGTAAGAGAGGCGCTCGGTCATTCACTTGGCAAACACGCCAGCCTGCACTGAGTGTGCTCTCTGTTCACCTCAACACCAGGGTTTCTTACACACCTGTCACACTCTTTTACTTGCTTCCTATTCAGAACAAGAGAAAAGGGTCCTGAATGCCTCCTCCTCCCCCTCTCCCAATGAGCCATGGATTCACTTAGAGAAACACAACACTGGGGCACAACACTGGCTTCCTAGCTCCTTACACCTCAGCGCTGGCTTGCACAGGCTCAGCACAATACTTATCCGTGCCACACACACACACACACACACACACACGCAGGGAGAACTATCCATGAGTCCTCTTTGCCTTGACTTTGAAACACAAGAGAGACTGTAGGATGGCAGGAAGGGGACAAGACAGAATCCAGGGATCTTGACTCTAATCTCAGCTATGCAATCATGCAACGGAACCTCCCAGAACCTCAGTCTCTTTATCAGTGAATAGGTGACGAGTATCCGTATAGGGGGAGAGAACACTGAAGGCCTAACCTATGTCTAGGGATGTCAGGACCTCCTGGTGCTAACGTATTACTTGGGCTTCTATTATTGCTTTCTGTTCCTTTGAGGGTAAAGGAATGGATGCCTTGTTGTCTCAAGGAGGCAGTAGGAGGTGAGTTACACCATTCTCAAGTGTCGTAAAGTTCTGGAGCGGAAAAGAAGAATAAAATGTCTTATCATAAGATATGTTATCACAAGAATAATGATAGGAACAGGGATCCTCCCTGGGCATGTCCAATCCACAGGACTGTTCTGAGAATTGATGAAATCAGTACTGGGGGAAGCGCTTGGAAATGTATACATTTGAACACAAACATAAAGAACTAAAATTACTATTAGAGCCGACTATCCTACGGGCCTGCACTAGACTGAGCCACTTCATTAGCCAGGCAATTTTCGGAAAGCTGCGCATCCCATGATCACCAAGCTTGTGGTCAGGCTGGTGACCCTGAACAGCAGACAGAGCAGTGGGGATGCAGACTGGCCCCCGGGGCTGGCAGACGGTTCATCACAGGGGACCCCAGCCTGGGTGCAGCTGCTTGGTAACTGATACCCAGGTCAAGGCGAGCAGGCAAAACCTCCACGCTCAAGAAAGGCCACAACCTTTAGAGTCAAGCAACGTGCTTCAAACGTTCACTCAGCCATCACCAGCTGGGGGAACTAGAAAGAACGACCCAACTTCCCTGAGCCTCGGGGTCCACAACAGCACACAGGGTTAACCCCACCAGCATCATGGGGTTGATGACCAAAGTAAGTGAGATAGCACAGGGAAGGCGCTGGGCCCAAGTGGACACATGCCGCGGGATCGGTGTACAGTGAGAGCATTATTACCCAGCGCCTCGGTTGGGGTAAGCGGTGGGGGCCAGCGGGGGAACCATCTCCAACCTCCCCAGCAGGTGTTTAGGCTCAGAAGCTCTGGAACGAACTTCCCCTTTGGATGTACCTGCTGCCTCACACCATGAGACCAGCCTTCCTCAATTCTGAAATAATGGGACTCCAGCATGGGGCACCAGGGCACAAGCTGGGCCTTCTGTCTGATTCAGTGCCACACACACACGAGCGCGCCTGCTTCTCAAAGACAGGGAGAGCTGCCAGCTAGGGTCTGCTTACACCACCCGAGACTCCAGAAAACCTCAACATGGGGACTGTATCTGGCACTTCTCCTTTCCCTCCCACCTCACTCCCCACTCCAAAGTGGTACCCGGAAGGAAGCCAGGAGCCCTGGAACCTTCCCACAGCCCTGGTCGCCATGGAGAAATTCATTCTAAGATAGCCTGATGCCAACAAGGCCATGGGCTGTGAATGTCTTCCCGGGGAGGCAGAACAAGAGGCAGAAAGACACAATCCCACTCTGACATCCTCTACTCCACGGATTGGTCCTTCTCCTTCCAACATGTCGGCTTCACAAGAGAAGGGATCGGTTGTACCAGTTTTGTTCACTGCTGTGTCCCACGCACCCAGAACCAGATCCAGCACACACCGGGGCACAAACACACATTGCACAGAAGTCCGTTACCTGGTTTCATTTTTCATTCTCCAGCCATCTCGACACTTGTGGAACCAGAGCTCTCGACCGGGGGAGATGCTGGTGTTCTCAAAGTCTTGCGCACAAAAAGTTAATCTAGAAAAAAAAAAAAAAAGTTAATCTAGGAGGAAAGGGAAACCACCAATGTAGGCAAAACTTGCTGGGCCTTAGCCAGATGGTGCTTTCTGGATCCAAAGTGGACCAAGCAAGGAGGAAAGGGTGTTTTCATCCTGCCACAGCCTGACCCAGACCTCCGGACCTCCCCATTGCTGCTGCAAGAGTCCTAAACACGTCTCCTGGGACACCTGTCATGATTGGGTTCATGTGACTTTTCATCACGCCCCTTCCACTTTCTTCCGTCCATCCACCCAAAAGTGGCCTACCTTTCAAGGCATAGCCTCTCTGAAGCCTCCCTGATAGCCCAAGCTCTTGACCTTAATAGAAAAGCATATTGTTACATAAATGTTGTTTTTGCTATGGTCAATACCTTGTATGGCATGGAGTTAATTGGGAACATTTTGTCTTCTTTTAACACATTATACACCACCCCGAATTGCTCATGGATACCCATACCTGTGGTGGAACTCAGGATACCTCCAACGGGTGCTCAGAAATACCCACTAACAAGCGTAACTGAATTCAGCAGTGAGTCAAAATCAAAGATTCAGAAACTGCTCAACCAAGATCATGGGAAAAATCAGTACTCAAATAACTGTTTGACTGTGACTTAGAGCCAAACCATATGGACCTCAACGGTGTGTCGTTAGCATGACCCTATGACCAAAAGACGTATATGGGGCACCTGACCCTGATGTATGGGACGTGATGACCGAAAGGACAAAAGCCACATTCAGAACAGGTTTAAGAACCTTTACCAGGAAGCCCAAACAGTCCATAAACACACAAGAAGGGGACCTACCTCATGGAGATCAAGAAATTAAAACACATTAACACAACATTAAGAGACCAATTCACCCCCAACAGAATAGCGAGGGGCCCACCAAATGGAGGTGAGGAGGAGGGAAAGGGGAACTCTGACTCTCAGACTGTCGTCTGAACACTTCAGAAGGAAATTTAATAACATCTCATCACACTGGAGAACATATTTACTATAAACCAGAGACAGGGGAAGGGCGTGAAAGGGCTCTGGCTCCCCCAGTTTCCAGGTTTCTAGGCCAGAATCACTCAGACAAGGGACCCTGGCCTCCGCCCACCCTCGGTCAAACTGCGCCCCCCCGGCGATACATAGAAATGGCACACGGGAAGAACTATAATGGAGAACACAAAACAGACTAGGTACAGAGACGGTGGAGGCTGCTTCCTAACATCCCAAGGCTGGCAGTGACCTCCCAGCAGTCCACACAGAGCTGTGGCCAAGGAAACCCTCTTCTCTTTACCAAGGTCTCGAAGGCTTCCCTGACTTCCGCTTAGAAGTCTGCTCAGAGTCAAGGCACGGTTTCAGAGGCCTGAAACATTCAGGTCTGGAGCGCTCATGCCAGGCTGAAGTTGAAAACCATGGGGGAACTGCCAGCTGGCATAGCACCGAGGATTCTCTGTTACTTAATGTCAGGGCCCCACCCATAACCTGGACTCACAGCCTCCGAAGGAAGAGTACAGTGCTCTGAAAATCGGGTGCTGGGGAAACCAGGGCCTCAGGCAGACCTCATCCCTGGGGACTCCCCAGGCTTGCTGCTAGAGTCTTCTCTGGACAGGGGCAAGCAAAGATAGGGGCACACACCCAATAACACACCAACGAGCAAGGCAGTGCTCCTAAGGGATCCTATCCAGGAGAAGCCCTCCTTCCTCTGGGCCAACACAGGGTCCGGCAAACACAACCGAGACTGGACCCCAGCCCCCACGTTGCCCACCCCCTCAGCTGAGGGTCTGTAATCAGGACACAAGCCACACAATGGTTGACAGAGGTCTCAATGCAGAATTCCCTTTTCCTTACAAAGGTGTCTACAGTGTTGGCTACGTGCTCGGGGCAGGGCAAGGTTGGAAGTGCGTGCTCAGCAAAGGAGAGGACATGGTGGAGGCAGACGCCCTCTGCTAGCACTTGACACGGGGCCCTTACCTCCGCTGAGTCTCCCCAGACTTGACCCGGATGCGCCGGATATTCAGCTCCCGCTCGGAGCTGCGGGAGTGAGACAGGTAGCTGCGGAGCTCCTTCCACAGGTTGTACCAGGACTGAGCTGTCCCCTCCCAGGTGAGTTTGATCTTCAAGAGGTCTCCCAGGTCCTCCTCGGTGTAGACCAGGAAGGTGTTGGTGGCATTCAGCCCGATCTGCTCCACTCTACAAGGGGACACCGGGGCATGCGTCACCAACCTGCTGCTGGAAAACTGTCCCACTGTGTGGGCTGATACGGTGGCCGCACCTGCCCCCCGGGGACCACAGAGAAATGGGCCCACAGACACTGGTCTTCCGCTAAACTCCCCAGCCCTTCCTGCCTGTCCCTCTCATTTGACACTTGGGGGCCTGTCCCACCCCATTTGTGTGCGAGAGCGAGTGCACACACATCTGATCCCCCAACTAGACCCTGAGCCCTAGGAAGCGAGTACTTTGATGACATTACTTGGTAATCCCAACCTTGCGTGCATTCGACAAAATACACACCGATTGCTATGTGCCCTTCCCACAGACAACTAGAAACGGTGCAGGAATGGCGTTTATGTTCCAAATTTCCTACAGCCTCAGGTGTCAGGCGTTGCCTGAAATGAAACAGCAGTTTCTGTCCAGCCGACCCAGCAGCTTCTCATGCTGCTGATTCATCCAAGGGCCTCCCTCCTAGAAAGGGCCTGAGTCAAGGGCTTGGTGGAGAATGTGGACCACAGATGCTCTGGAGCCACCCAGCCCCTCCCCTGCCCACGTTCGCACATTCCCACGCTCACCCATTCTTAGAGTAACTTGTTCCTGGACCTGAACCCATCAAAGGGAGCTCGTGACTTACATTTCCAAAGGCAGAAGCTGGGAGTCTGTGCTTGTGCCATAAAGGGTGACATAAAAGTTGGGTTCGATTTCTCCCATTGTCTTGTAGCTGAAGATGTGGATTTTCATCTGATAATGGTAAACTGCAGAGATAGCAGAACAAAGGCATTCCTGAGTTTTGTTGGCCATCTCTGCACACTCCGACTCAAACTGAGTCATCCAGCACACAGAGTTTTGAGGGGCTGTCGTCCCTTTGGTCCAGCCCAGCCTCCAGCCTCCAGCCCCCCTCTGCTCTTGTTCCATGCAATGGCATAAGGGATCACTGCAGTATCAAATGAGCCCCAAACTCAGAGTTCAGGGAATGTGGAGAAGGAGGGGGAGATCCAGCCTAGGAACTCTCAGACCCGGAGCCATGTGACCTTGAATGAAGGACCAACGTATTAACTCTTTGAACCCCAGCTTCCTCATGTGTAAAATAACACCCACAAACCCCTCTGGTCTTAGAGCATGTTACAGAAATGCAAGCCATGACCGATGCCCTGTTGGTCCCATCTCAGATGTGTCATGACACTCAAATGAGGAAAGTATGACATCGCTTTGCAAAAGGCCAATGCAAAGAAATGAAAAAAATCCTATCTTCACACAAATTTGAGAGATCGACACTGCGACCAGGGAGGGACGCTGCACATCATGAAAGGGGTCCCCACCACTTATTTTTAATGATGAACTTCCCCAGGGCACACACAGCGTCATCTGGTTGGCAATGACCTGAATTTTCACTGTGCCAGCCCCATCTCCCGGGGCTGGGATGTGTCCTGTCCACAGCACACTACTGAGAAGAAAGGGAAAAATGAAGGGCCTCCCTCAGGGCGCCGTGGGGATGGAGGGTTACCTCTGAAGGGCATGCCTGCCCGGGTTTTGAGATACATTTTGCTGTTCCTCTTGCTTCTCGTCTTCTTCGCGTTGTAGCCGATGCTGTTACACCGGTTCTTCCGGCAACTGAGACAGATCCCCTTTTTGAAGCGGTTTGAGTCCGTGCACTGGAACGCAAAACTCGGCTTGTCCTGATTCACCAGGGAGTCGACAAAGAGGTGTACGGCCCTCTCGTGCTCGCATTTCACCACCTCCGTGATCGCTGGTGGAGCAAGACACAGGGGACACACAGCATGAGCCTCTCGCCAAATAGAGATGGTGGCCCCGAGGCTCACAGAGGTCAAGTACTTCGCTCAGAATCACACGATCAGTGTGAGTATGATTTGGATTTTCTGGCCCATGGCACATCATTATCTCTTCTAACCAGAAGCTAAAGCCGATGGTTCCATAAATCCTAGGACCTTAAGAAAAATTTGACAAAGCCATCCCACCCCTTCCTCAGTAACACCGCTGGCCTTAAGGAATACCGCCATCTGATGGGGGTCCTGGCATTGACCTCCAAGCCTCGCGGGGGCTGCTTGAATAGTATCATAGTGGGAGAGGGCTACAGTCTTACGACAGAAGGAGACGTAGCAATACTGCCAGGACCTGAGGCAGTGAGCGAGCGGGAACCCGGAAGAGACGGGTCACAGCGGCCACGCATCAGTTTCAGCAGCAAATTCAGTTCAACTCAAGACTGCTGAGAACAGGCTCAGGCGTTTAGAAGGTAAATCATAAGTGAATGGAGACATCATCTTGGTTCTCCTTCTTTAAAATGTCACAAAAAATTAAATTTTAGTGCATCCATTCTGTACAAGATTATATACTCTTTAAAAAGAATAAGGAAGGGGCGCCTGGGTGGCTCAGGGGGTTAGGCCGCTGCCTTCGGCTCAGGTCATGATCTCAGGGTCCTGGGATCGAGCCCCGCATCGGGCTCTCTGCTCAGCAGGGAGCCTGCTTCCTCCTCTCTCTCTGCCTGCCTCTCTGCCTGTTTGTGATCTCTCTCTGTCAAATAAATAAATAAATAAAATCTTTAAAAAAAAAATAAAAAAAAAATAAAAAGAATAAGGAAGAGGGGCGCCTGGGTGGTTCAGTCAGTTAAGTGTCTGCCTTTGGCTCAGGGTCCTGGGATCGAGCCCCACACTGGGCTCCCTGCTCAGTGAGGACCCTGCTTTTCCCTCTCCCCCCACCACCTCCCTGCTTGTGCTCTCTCATGCGCTCTCTCTCAAATAAGTAAATAAAACCTTTAAAAAAAAAAAAAGAAGTCAAGTAAATCTATGTGCTCTGATGCTGAAGAATATTCACTGTATATATATATGTGTATATATATATGTATATATATTATGACTGAGAAAGGAAAGTTACAGAACAATGTGAGTTCAAAAAATATAATTTCTTTCTCTCACGTGCACACACACACACACACATACACACACGTTTTCAAAGAAGAAAAGATCGGAAGGATACATACAAAATTGTTCCTATTGGCTACCTCTGAAGAATAAAAGAGGGAGTGGGAGAAAGCGGTTAGTTTTTGCACTATGCAGTTCTGCATTGCTTGATTTTTTCCCCAACAAATACATATTCCTTTCCTTATGAAAAGAATTTAGCCACTAATAACTGGGACCTCAAAGCATGAGAAGACCAAGCAGAGCCCCATAGATGGCTGTTAACAAGCCTATAGAAGGACCAACTGTACAAGGGGTTTGTAGCCCCATGGGGGTGTAGGGGGTATTATGAAATGAACTGTTGGGAGCACTACCAGCTTGGGCTGATTTGCGAGGAGATGAGATAATCAAGTCAAACCTCTCCATGAAGCAGAAAATAAGGAACTCACTTCCATATGCGATTGACCCCAAGACGTCATTGAGCCCACAGCCCGGCTGGAAGTCACCCCCGTTGGGGTAGATGTCAATGTGGCCCACAGGCATCTGAATCCCGATGCTCAAGCCGAAGGAACGTGTGTAGGTGTGGAGGACGTCCACAAAGTCCGCATCATCAGGGGACAGCCTCTTGTGGATGTCCACCCCTTCAAACAAAGGCCCGGCAGGATCCAAACCTACAGCAGAAGGGGGAGCCAATACCAACCATGTCAGGTGTACCAAATCCATGAGTCCTGAGTTACAGGTAAATTCACGTGAGCACAAGGAAGGCCTTCTCGGAGCCAAGCCCCATAAATCTGGAACCGTGTGACGCCTGCACTTGGGGAACCTGCACTTTCTTCTGAACCCCTCGCCTGTCCTCCCACCTCAGCAGACTCAGAAAACCGGCTGCCAGGTTCGCAATGACCTGCAGTTCCCAGGAGCCCCAGCCTGTCACAAATGGAGCAGTTCTAGAAAGAACTCAGGCTGGCCAAACTAAGCCATTCGTCCCATTTTTTCTGCCACTGAAAACCTTCCAAAGCCTTAATTAAGCAGGCCTTTTACAGAATGACCAAGCTCCCTGCATTTTCTGGAGGGAAGACTCAGTTTATCCAAATAGCGCTATTTGCATGTGGACTGACTCTTCCCCTTCCTTTAATGATGAATCAGGCCCAAGGGTGGAATGGCGAGATCAGGGGTGGGGACCACACCAGACACACTGAGATCCATATCTCAGGCCCCCAGAATTCCTGTATTCTGCAGCAAGAAGGTGAAATCTTTTTGCCTGCAAACTTTCCACACTGAACAGGCAAACAGAAATGTAGCAAGAACTGGTTCTCACATTTGAAACAGCACAACTATCACTGGGAGCTTGTTGAAAATTCAAATTCTACTATGTAGCTATAAAAAAAAAAAGTCTGGAAGGAGGGGCGTCTGGGTGGTTCAGTTGGTTAAGGGTCTGGTCATGATCCTAGAGTCCTGGGATCCAGTCCCACATGGGGCTCCCTGCTCAGCAGGGAGCCTGCTTCTCCCTCTCCCTCTGCCTGCTGCTCCCCCTGCCCTGCTCTCGCTCCCTAAAATATAAATAAAATATTAAAAAAAAAAAAAACTCTAGAAAGACCACATAAGCCACTGGCAACCTGTGTATATGTGCTGCAGGTGGAGAGGGTGGGGAAGGAAAGCGAACAGGTAGTAGCAATAAGAAAAGAGACTTATTTTGGAACCACATGAATGGAAACCATTCAGAAAGAAGAGTTTGCAAAGCATGCGATGCAGATTCCCCAACCCCCTCGAGATTCTGATCATCAAGCCTGGTGTGGAGCCCCGAAATGTGTATTTATGCCCCCAGGTGATTCTAAAAGGAGGTAGTCTATGAACTAGATTGGAAAAAACTCCCACCATCAGTATCATCGATAACAATGAAACTGAACATCTTAATCCATACAGTTCATGCGAGATATGAAGAGATTAAGGCCTTGTCAGTGCAAACAGCAGCCACTATTACCAAGCTCAAGTAATTATGGGAGCCAAATTCATGCCAGCCTGGACGGCTCTCGGCCCTACAGACACAGGCAGAGAGCCTGGAGAAAGCTGAGAATACTGAGCACGGTTTAGTCTAGAACAGTGGTTCTCAGCTGGGAGTGATTTTGCTCCCGGGGGGACATTTGGCAATGTCTGGACACATATTTGGTTGTCGCAGTTGTGGGGGAGGGAGAGAAGCCACTGGCAGCTGGAGGGTGGAGGTCAGGAAGGCCGATAAACACGCATCATTGCTCAGGTCAGCTCCCACGACAAAGCATTCGCTGACCCCGAATGGGAACGGTGCTGAGGCCGAGGCACCGCGGACTGGAAACACCACATCAGAGGGGAGTTAAGACTAGGAGCAGAGTCGTCAAAGGAAGACATAGGTGACAGAACCCATCGGATCCCAGCACAGGAGAACCAGGGAGCACACTGTGAGGCTTGAATCACTGCGGTGATTTCAGACTAAACAACAGGCAGAGCTATTGTCTGGAAAGGACAGTAAACTTATGAAACTCGTCACTCAGGAGAACTGTAGAGACTGAAAGTTAGCAGGTTCCGGAAGAAGGTTATAGAGAAATGCCCGTATGACCAAGGCAGAAAGGAAGCCCCAGGCGGCCTGGTGGTTCAGCCGTAGCCCAGGGCCCCAAAGGAAGACGGCACGAAAGCAGTGACCCCCGGCACAGCCCACGAGGACGTGGTTCAGAGGCTTCCGAGGGCTACAGTACCAACACAAGCAGCCTCCCCCTGCCTCTTGCTATGTTTTCTGGAAGAAAGAAAAAAGAGAGAGAGAGAGAGAAGACCATTCTGCTTTGCAACCAATACAAGAGAGGGGCTCTTTGCTTGATATGAACAAAAGTCTCCACCAGACGGTCAGTGCCATGGAAACCAAGCTGGGCTGGAGGAATGTGGGCGGCTGACAGGGCTTCTGGAGAAGATGGCCTGGGGGGGGGGGGGCTCTTGGGGGGGGCAGGCTGAGCCTTCGCCTACCCAGACTCACCCAGCCTGACACAGAGCCAGGGCTCACAGACGCTGGGGAAAAGTCGCACAATTTACCTTTATAAACTAGGAATAGGAGGGAGAGCTTGTTCCCACCAAAAAAGAACAGGTCGAGAACCACCCCTCCTTCCATTCACCAAAGTGCTCTGTCCCGCAAATGGAACGCGCACATACACGCGCATACACACCCGGGAACACCTCGGCACTCTGGCCTGGCAGGGCCGGCCGGCTGCATTTCAATCGCTGTTTTATCTCCACCCACAAAGGAGAGGTGGGATGGCCTAGCGGCTAGGTGTGGGTTCTGCAAGCTGGCAGCCTGGGCTTGAATTCCTGGCTCTGCTACTTAGGATGTAAGACATTGTACCCATTATTTAAGCACCGAGTCCTAGTTTCCCATCTGTAAAATGAAGCCGAATGGCCCCTTCTGCCCCACTGCAATGTGTCTTAGAGATAGCATGAAGTCCTCCTCACATCTTAGGTACTTGACATTAGGAAGCATCTGGCCCAGTGTCTGTGCAGAGAGGACATTGAATTCATAGTTCTTGAATGAACAAATGAATCTGCTTGCTTACTTGTAACTAACTAGACACAGGTTCAATTAGAAATCTATGATCTCTTCCCTACTAACACACAGACTTCTCTCAAAAGGTAAAACTCGGGCAAACCCCAGTCCACAACTCTAATTCAAGCAAGACTAGGGTTCAGGTGTCACCCTGTTGCCCTCCGTACAGCAGCATCATGGGTCTCAGGACCCCACACAAGCTGCAGTCTGGTCCTTCTACTAGTTGGGACCACCCCGTTCCCAGGCCCATGGGAAGTCCACCAATGGAGAGGGAGGGCACTCCCCGCTCGGACCTTAGGCCTCCCCCATCGGACATGCACAACAGCACGCATCAGGTGAGCCACATACCCTCTGCGGGGTTGCTTGGCAACTGGCCAGAGGGTACTTCTTCCCACTGTGCTCACCCAGCGCCTGCCCACAGGGAAGGCTGGAGAAAAGGGGCGTGCCCGGACAAGGAGCCGGCCCTCAGAGCACTGATTAGCATTCGGCCAGCAGAGCCTGAATCTCAGCAGCCGCCACCCAAACAGGCAGGGGTAAAGAGCTGGAAAACTCTTCCCTAGCCCCACCTCATTTCAGATTCAGAAAGAGGGAATGGGAGGATCTGCGGCTTGTCCTTGCAGCCAATGACCCTCCTGGGCGGCAGAGGGGGATGGGGATGTGAACAAGGCTGGTCTCGCTCTGAAGCATGGTGCCTCTCACTGGGGGCCAGGGGAGCTGCTCGGACAATGGACCCCAGAGGGGCTTACAGCTGAACAGCTCTGCACCAGCAATGGGTTAATGAGCAGTCACGTGGCCACACAATCACTATCCACCTGGACCCTGGGTCCCACAGGCTTGGTAGACAAAAATGAGGTTCTCAAGCTACGCTAAATCAAATAACTAGATCCAAAGGAGTGCGTGCGCACACGCGCACACGTGTGTGTGTGTGTGTGTGTGTGTGTGTGTATTAGACTGAAGCCCAGGGATGATTGGAGGCAGGCCAATAAAATTTCACAAATACATATGTTTTTAAATCTACCCCACCAGCATGGTGCTAAAACCTGAAAGTGTGCCTTTACTAAATCGTTTGTTAGCTAAGGACTCCCTTCTTCCTCTTTTAAAATAAAAACACTGCTGGGAAAGAAATTAATCACATCTCTCCTTCTCAGTGACCAACCAGTTGGGCCCTTGGTATCTTGGAGGTGAGAGAGAAGCTGGGAGTGAAGATGAGTCTGAGAATTCTAGAAGGAAGATAAAAGTTTAGGGCAACAAATTTGCTATTAATTTCATCCTGGGGGAAGCACAAAAATGGGAAAGAAAATCTTTCACACTTTTCCACTCATTAGATGATTTAATCCAAACACACATCAGAAGCTCAAGATGGAAAACACAATTTTTTTCACTGACGACCTGGGTACCAATATCAGAATGGCCTCTTTAACGACAAAGTTGAAGCATCCGTTCTGAACAGAAAATTACCACTAATAAACGCTCCAGCAAAACATTGGGGAAAGGCTGTCGGTGGTGAAACAGAAATAAGGCAGAATTCAGACTAGAATCCGGCAGTTATTCATTTCCCTAGAGACCCTGAGCATCACTTGTAGACAACGGAGTGAGACTCCGGGGTTCACCCCTGTTCCGCATGTAAGCTATTAGCTGTTCACCCCTTGCCTGTCGGACTAGACCAGTGGTTTTCAAACTGTGTTCTCTGGTGCCCTGGGACCTTGAGAGTTCTCTGGGGAAGGCAAAGGCCCCATAGCAAAGCAAGCACTACCCACCGTCTATCCAGCTTCCACCAGAACATCCCTTCTATCTGTTTCATATATCAGGGTCCCGCACAAGTTCAACTTGAAAGAAGGACTCTGTGTCTAAAAAGAACACTGGAAAGCTCCAGATTAGATATCCTCCGGCTCCCTTCCAAAGTTAACTGTCCATGGCTCCCTTGTGCAGGAGTACTCCGGTGCAGAAAGCCAGCTTGGCAGGGGAGCTGAGGGAGCTGGGGGTGAGCCCATAGTGCAGGAAGCAGAACCTACCTGTGATTCTGCCCACCGTGCCTTTCACGAAGTTCCCAGCATACCCAGCCACGTGAGCGCCAAGGCTGTAGCCAATCAAGTGGACATTGCCAAGAGAAAAATCATCCTTCTCCTGTGGGAAGTCACAAAAGTGACCGTGAGTGATGTGTGTGGTCCTGAGCCCACAGGGTCACCAACAGTTCAACAATTCTATGGTGACAAGGAAGAGCCAGGGGAACCGGGGACAGACACTGGCCAGGGCATGGCCCGCACTGCTGGCCGTGAGACAGGGATGGGATGTCGCCAGAGAAGGGGAGGGCAAAAGGACTTTATGGCACTTTAAATGCTGAGTGCTAAGGGTAGGGTGGAGGTTATGACTAGAAGCCACATCCCTGACCCCTGGGCTACATTTCCATTCTCTCAGGCACTATGTGGGGCACCCAACTCATTGGAGACTAAGCGCCAGCCATGGCCTGCAGCAGCCTGCTCTCTCCCCGCCTCTTAGGCCCCAGGAGCTGCTGGCCTGCTCACCACAAGCCCACCCGGGATACCCAGAGAGAGGGTACTTCCCTGGCAGGGTGAGGACGTGGGCCCTGGACCCCACAGCTCAGAAACCCAGCTCTACAAAACCACCCAGGCAGAGAACTTGAGTACTGCTCACCAGCCCTAACCAGGATGCTGCGAGGATTCATCAGACTCCATGGGCAAAAGGAAGGTCAGACTAGAATTGCCCAGACCATGGGGTCACTTTGCCAGTACACCCCTGCCTCCGGGTAAGTCCACCGATCTCAGGCAAATCATTAACCTCTACAGAGTAAATGTAAGACCTTGAGATCTGTTTTCCACACTTAGTATTTTAAGCGTGGCATTAGACTGCATTTGTTGGAACAAACCCTCTCCTTCCCCTGAGGACAGCCACCCTTTAGAGAAAAAGAGCAGACTTCAGGAATTTTTCAAGATTTCAGGCTGGTCCTGGCTCCTGACTATCCCCAACCTGAGGGCATGAGCCAGTAGTGACCCATCAGTCAAATTTTCTTCCAGCAAATAAAGCAACAGGCAAGATCCAGAAATATATCAATAACTGAAACGCTTTCCAAAGTTCCAGCTTTCAAGTGTTTCAAGCAATACTTAAATCAGTAAAAATTTGAATCCCAAAGACACTCTTAGGCTCCTGGAGTTCATGGTAACACAGTCTGAGCTGTATTTTCTTAAGAAGGTTCAGGTTCGGGGCGCCTGGGTGGCTCAGTTGGTTAAGCGTCTAACTTCAGCTCAGGTCATGATCCTAGAGTCCTGGGATCAAGCCCTGCATCGGGCTCCCTGCTAGGGGTGGGGGGAGCCTCCTTTTCCCTCTCCCACTCCCCCTGCTTGTGTTCCCTCTCTCACTGTCTCTCTCTTTAAAAAAGGGCAGGGGGCGCCTGGGTGGCTCAGTGGGTTGAGCCTCTGCCTTCGGCTCGGGTCATGGTCTCAGGGTCCTGGGATGGAGCCCCGCATCGGGCTCTCTGCTCGGCGGGGAGCCTGCTTCCCCCTCTCTCTACCTGCCTCTCTGCCTACTTGTGATCTCTCTCTCACAAGTCAAATAAATAAATAAAATCCTTAATAAATAATAAATAAATAAAATCTTTAACAAAAAAAAGAGAGAGAGAGAGAAATTGAGAGAAGGTTCAGGTTCAAGATCTTGTTCTTCAGAGTAATTACCTGCAGCCAATCAAGCATCCTTGCAACATTGTGTCCCACCACCCTGGTGTTATTGACTGCGTCTGTGTAAAGCTGGTGGGCCAGGGGAAGCCAGTCAACCACGACGACATTGGCTTCTTTCTCTCTAGTCTGCAGGGCTGACACCAGCTTGTATAGCCAACTTTCAAACATGCCACTCATCTGCAAAGAAAACAAGACATTTTTAAAAATTCTTCCTATGGGCTTCTTGAGTCCTGATGAATACAGAATTCAGTTCCATGACCCTCTCCCCATCCAGTTCCAGAACTTTCACAATGGCTGCTCAGACAATAAACGTTTGCACATGAGCATGGCTGGCCACAGACAGAATCACTACGTGTTGGTCTTCCATTGCTCTTTCTATCTTGCTTTTCCCATCAAATCTTCATAGCCGGTGTCTTAGGCTGCCACCCACTGTCCAGTAGGGCCACTATGAGGTAAGTGTTGGTGGCCATTCTGGCCTGGGGTTAGCCTGAGTCACTGTCACAGACAAGCAAGTGGCCCCAAAGGCAGCTGGGAAGGGTTGCCCTGGAGAATTAGCTTCTCTCTCTCGGAGACTCAAGGAGATGCTGCGTCCTAGGCAAATGCAGAGTTAACAGATGACCCCTTCCCACAGCCCATCTCTGCCACCCCTCTCGATTCCAGAGTAGGGAAGATATCTCCCTGGAATCCCAAATTAGAACTCAGAACACATTTTCCCACAGAAACAAAGCTATAAATAGGGCCTAGGTCCAGTTGTAAACCTATCCACATGTACAGAATTCGATAAATAGATTTTCTGTGCCTGGCCTGGGAACCCAAACGCCATTTACTATCTTGCTTCTATGGGAAACTGCTGTTCCAAGCTCCAAACAGATCACAAAAGAACTTTCTGGAATGCAACCCATTTGTAAGTTGTCTACAGTTTGTATTTGCATTTTGACAGGGGCCTTAAAAAGGTTCAATTGTATGATTCTACTTGTAGGCTGTGGGCTGAGGATGGATAGCCAGGCCCTCGCCATCCCTCCAGGCACATTAGGTAGATGCAGAATTACCCACCCCCCAACCCCACTCCCAGGCCTGACCCCAGCAGTTGGTGATAGACCTAAGACCCAGAAAGCATGTAACGGATATGAATTTCTCATCATTAAAAAGAAGAATGTCCCCTCCCAATTAGCCCAGGCAGAAACCTGCTCACTTAACGGTGTCATTTTCCTGCAGACCATCATTATATGATTGAATAAACCCCCTCGCTGGTCAAAAGCTTCTAAAGCTGAGCGTTAAAGCCCTTTTTTGTTGAAGTTTGTCATGGGCCTTTCAATGTGAATTGCCCAGCTAGGGCACATAAAGAGCCCCAATGCCTTTAACCAGAGCCATCTCTATGCAAACAGGAGGGCACCATGCCAACGGCGGCCAGCGAGCCAGGCCAGCTGGCTCTTCATAGACTCTCAGAGCCAGTCAACTTGCTGCCGTTCAGCTCAGCTCTTAGGGAGGGACGCCCCCCCGCCCCCCGCAAGGCAGTGGTTGACCAATGTAATTAAGTGTAATTAGAGGGCCCCTTAAGAGCCAGTGGAGCTGGGCTGCTGCCTTCAGGAGAGCCACTTTCTGAAAGCCCTCTGTGTGCCGGCATTAAATACCACCCTGCTGGAGTCCATATTGCCCCCTCAGCGAAGGGCCCATTACATTCTTCACAGCTGTCTGCAACACAAGCAGCCCACAAGAAAAGAGGGAGAGAGAGAGAGAGCAGAATCGGGAAGCACCAGTCTTCTTTTTAATTGACCAAAACAAAGAAAACCAAATCTGGCGTCAAGCTGCAGAGCTCCCTCCCCCGGGCTCACCGTCCACCCATGAATGATGAAGAAGGTTTTGGCGGTCGTGTTGAAGCCACAGTCTTCCAAGGGCTGGTTGTGGCCTAGCGACAGGTAGCATCCTTCATGGTCTGAGTCCCCAGACGTGCGGAGGTTGAATCTTACAGGAGGTTTAGCAGAAACCCCTATATGGCTGGATTTGTGGCCCTCATCTGGGGGAAAAAGAACAGCGCGTCGGTGCATCTAGCGGGCTTGGACAGCGAGAGATCTGGGGTCTAGTTCTAGTTCAATCTTGAACACATTTCTTAATCCTCCGGGTTACAGTTTTTATTCCCGACGAATGTTTTCTCCTTAATTCCCAGGAGAGTTTCGAGGACAGGATAAAGGGACAGCTCCTCCATATTGAAGAATTTTAGTTAGTCACTAGTCCTAATTACAGTGAATTACTGTAACTCTGAAATAAACAGGTGTCTCTTGCTTTCCTTTCCTCTTCCCTATCAAATGAGTTCTCCTTCCCTCAAGTGACGAATTACCAAAAAATGTTCTAATTTTAAAGGATATTGGAATTAAAGGTAAGAAGCCATCCACTATCATACAATGGGCTTCCCCTAGCATTCCCAGCTGGATTCCAACGCTTACTCCAAAGACCTCCTACACCCTCAGGACTCCTTGCCATGCCAGACACGAGCTAGACGTTCTTCTAGTTTCTTAAATAAATGACTGAAGCCATGAGAGCAGCAAAACCGCTCCTTTCTGCGCCGCTGCTCACACACAGCACCCAGGTCCCAAAACACAGCGGATGCCCGTGAGGTCTCTATGGCCTCTTAACTCAAAGCGCTTTATCGCCATGCTGTTGCGGGACAGTCATAAAAGAACCCCACCCTGCATCATCCAGACATCCAGGAAACTATCCCTTGATAACAGGCTAGGAAATGAGCAAATCAAACTCTCCTGTCACCTAGAGATCAAAGGAAAAAATACCGAATGACCCCTCCAGGAGTTTTCACTTATCCCAGAGCTAAGAAGCAAATGGAATCATGGAAGGAGAGACCAAAATGGTAGAAAAGGTGGCGGTGGGAAGGAAAAGAATACACCAGATGTAAAAGGATAGGGTTCCAGAAAATGCGACTAAATATACATGAGCAGACCCCAGGTTAACTGTCATTAAAGTCATGAACAAAAGCCCCAAGCAGCAGAAATTTGAACCATGGGCAAAAATAGTCAGCCTCCCCAATTCCCACCCAGGTAGCCATTCACAGAGACCAGATGGGGAAACTGTAGGAGAAAAGGACAAAAGTCTTTTGGCATTCCTGGGGCAGATTTGTGGATAAACCCACATATTGGCATAAAATATTCCCCTGAGTATCTGGTCTTCTCGGACCCCAGAGTTCTCCAGCTTCATTCCTACAACTTTCAGCCTGGGTCAGCTCAGCCTCTGGGACTTCACAATTATTCTTGATCCATATGCCTTCACGGCTCACTCTCTTACTTCCTTCAGTTCCTTGCTTGGTGGTCAACCTCACAGTGAGGGAAGCCTGACTACCAATTAAACATGCACCGCCTTCCCCACCAGCACCCTGTTCCCCCTCTGCTTTACTTTTCTCCTCCTGAGCATCGTGTATGTATTTTAATGGGTTTACCGTCTGTCTTCCCACTACTGAAACGTAAGCTCCAAGAGGCAGAGATCATCTGTTTTGTTCATTTTTGTATTCCCCCCACCCCCCGCCCCTGTGAGTGCCTGGCACTAGGCAGGCACACGATAAATACTTTCTCGACTCAAAAGAATGGCCTGCAGATACTCAGAATCATAGAACACAAGTTGGAAGGAACGTCAGCGTTTTACAGGAGAGGAGCTAGAGCTGTGACCTACCCCAGGTCACAGTTCCTAGTTAGTACTAGAACCTGCGGAGTGAAGCAGAGCTTTCCCATTCATTCAAATTAACCTGCCCCTGTGTGCATAAACTGACAAGGGCCAACAGCATGCCCATGATGGCTCAATGTAGCAGAATAGTAAGTAGATGAGATAATGGGGTGGAGTTGAGGGGATGTCCCCTCTTCCCTACTTAACTGACTTGGCACCCCCACAGCCGACTGGTGACCTCATTCCACCAGGGCAGTCTCCCTCTGATGAAAGAGACTGCCCTATAGAACTCAGAAAAAAGAAAGGCCAGCATCTGGGATGAAGGTGAAGAGAGGCAGGTAGGAAGAGGAACAGCGGTGATTGGAAGGGTCTAAGGGAGGAGGAGGCCAACCCCCTGCGGGGAGAGGCCCAGCAGCTTTCGGTCACAGTCACGTTACTCAACCAAATGCTCCCGGCAACCGTGAATCAAACCACAGCCAGCTACCCTGCTCCCTTAACTTTCCAAACACCCACACCCATATTAGAAGGAGGGCACTAGGCAACTTAACTCTAACAACCTTCTCACCTCGCAGAGGACAAGGTTGAAGAGCGGCCCTCGGCCGACTCTGCCAGTTGGACGGCACGGATCCAGGGCACCTTATCATGGGAGGGGGTGGGGCGAAAGGGTGAGCGCGGGCCTCTCGGATGCGGGGCCGGGGACATCCCCGGCAGAAGCGCCAAGGAGCAAGCGAACTGCAAAGCTGATTAGGAGAGACTGGACAGTGGGAAAGGCAAGAGGACTTCGCGGGCACCAGGAGGGGCTGGAAAGGGGTCGGCCGGACAGAGAGGGGACGTGGCACAGAGAAGTTGGGGTGGGGGGGGGTGGTAAGAAGAATAAGTGCACGTTACCTTGCAGCCGTCCCTCCGGACCAGGGGGTGTGGGGCTTCCCGCGGCAAAGCAACAATAGACGCTCCAGAGGCAGAGCAAGGGAACAGAGCTCCGCATCCTTCCCCGCCACACCCCCTTCCCCAAACAGGACTGAAGCAGACAACACCTCTCGGGGTTTCTAGCAGTCCGCGCGGGTAAGACCCCACGGGGGCAGCCCTCTCTTGGCCAGAGAGCGGTGGCCTTGGCCCGCTGAAGTAGGTGAAGGTGGGAGTGAGAATTTGGCTACTCTGAGCCGCGGGGAGTGGCGGGGAGAGTGAAGGGGCTTGAACTGGATCTGCCCCCACCGGTGCCGCCCGCCCGGGAAGCCAGGACTTGCCGCTGTCACTCCTCGAACTCCTTTTTAAAGGAGTTTTAAAGGAGGTACTTTTTAAAAAGTATGGAAGTCATCTGACCCATCGCCAGATGGTGATTTGCATAATTTATTCCTGTCCCCGGACTCTGATTGGTCACACCTTCGCTGACGCCGGAACCCAGGCTCCCCAAAGTTTGAATGAAAGGGCCGCACACCCACCGCGTGGACGGTCCGCACGCGCGGCCTCGCTTCCAGCCCCGCCCGCTTGGCTGGCAGCCGAGCTCCCGCCACCCCACTTCCTCCCAGGGCGGGCTCTCGGACCCCAGATTCTCCGCTCGCCCCCGCCGCCGCAGAGGGGACACCGCCCCGAAACGCTGCCCCCGCAGGGAATGCGATCCCCGGAGAAGGCGGGTTATCCTTTCCCAAGTGCAAAGCCACCCCTGCGCCCGAAATGAGCTTTCCGCGCAGCCAAGAGCAGGAAGGAGAGTCACCAGTCCACCCCTTGGGTCCTCTCTTCTCGAGCTCCCCTCCCCCCCATTGAGGCCCGCACGCGACAGGTGCGTGCAGAGTGATCCGACTGTAATCGGGCAGCGCTGAGAGGCTGTGGGCTGTGGCCTGGGCTTTTCGGGATCGCACAGACCCTTTCCGTGCCACAGCTCCGCCACGAGCAGTAAAACTTCGGGAAGGGCGCCCAGCGTCCCTCAGGTTGTTTCGTGGTCCGCAGTACTCGGGTGGTAGCAGCTCCCGCAGCTTAGGGATGTTGGGGAAATTAAGAAAGATAATGTACACCGCTTAGCGCGAGGCCTGCCTAGTGGTAGGATCTCTCTAGCCTTGGGGGTGGAGTGCCAGAGGGATACCAGGCGACACTCCCCAAAGGAACAGTGAGCCAGACTTGGAGGTCTCAGACGCGTGACCAGCGCCAAGTCTCGGCGGACGCGCGCAACTACCTGTTGAGTGGAATTAAGCAGCAGCCTTTTCCTTTCCTTGGTCACTTTTTCCCTCCTGTCCTCCTTCCCTTTGTTGATCCGCGTCCCTCCTCCTCCCTCTGGTGCTGGCTCCGGTTCCCTGGCTCCCCGGAGAGGCCCCGGGACTGAGAACGTAGAGCGCCGGAGACCTTGGCGGTGAGTTTGCGGCTAACGCCCGAGAGCCAGAACTGAACCGGGTGGCTGCGCCCCGACAGCCCTCGGGGACGCAGAGCCGGTAGGAAGGGCAGAAGGCGCCACGACAGGGCTGGGCTCCGCGGTCCCTTCACGTTCCAGCCAGCCAGAGCTGGCTCTGCAAGGCTGCACCTTTGACCTCGAGTAACCCCACCGTCGCAGGGAACCGGTCCCACTCTTGCCTGGAGAGGAAGTGCCCGGGCAGCCTCGTGCCCCTTTCTTCCCGGTGTCGGGACCCCAGCCGGGGAGATCAGTGTGGGGAAACCAGTCCGTAGGAGCAGGTCCTGTTCCGGCCTATCCTTGTTACTTTTGTCACTTGGCTGGCAACGGAGCACACTTTGTCCCTCCTGTACGCTGTAATAAATTAACAAGAGGCAGGCTGGCTTTATTTTGTAGTATAAAACCGGGTGCACTTTATGGGATGGTAAATGGCACCCCAGATGCCTTCCTTCGGATCTGCTCCAGCTCTCCTCCTTTGGTAAACAATACGGACAATCACAGGTACTACCTGCGATTTGCAGATAGGAAAACTTAACTCATGGGGACAGGCTGTGGGTTTGAAGGACGTTTTCACAACCAGGTTTCTCTCCTCTACTCTTAATTTGGCCAGCTGCCTTCTAAATATGAGCTCTAGGAAACCATGTCCCCCAACTCTCATGCCTCAGCCGCAAAAATCCCCATTTCTGTCCTGAGTGGCTCAAAGCCACAGTCCTGGAACCTTAACTGGATGGTGTGGAGAGATGTGTCTTGGGGGTCTTTGCCACATGTGAGCTCCCCCAGGAGAGCTAGGTATTCCTGCAAAGTTGGTTATCCTACCTGGGCGTGGAGTGGGGGAGGTGCAGGGACCAGATTCGACAAAGTCAATATCCTTTTTTTTTTTTTTTTTAAGATTTTAACCTATCTACTTGACAGACAGAGATCATAAGTAGGCAGATAGGCAGAGAGAGAGGAGGAAGCAGTCTCCCCGCCGAGCAGAGAGCCCGATGCATGGCTCCATCCCAGGACCCTGCGATCATGACCTGAGCCGAAGGCAGAGGCTTTAACCCACTGAGCCAACCAGGCGCCCCAATATCCATTTTTTTTTAACTGCCAAGACTGTAAAACCATTTAAGTTTTATTGCTGCCTGGTTAGAGTGCCCTCCTGTGTCTCTATATTAAAATATAATGTAAGAACTGGCAAAGGAGCTAATGAAATTACAATCACGGCATAAGAGTAATGCGTAACAACTGTTTGTTATACTTCATGCTTTCCAGAAGAACCACGAGGAGATCTAGGGAGCCTCCTGTGTGGAGGAAATTCCCCTGTCTGGGGAGTTGCGGCGGAAAATTCTGTTTGGGGGGCATCAGGGTGGCTCAGTCTGTTGAGCGTCTGCCTTCAGCTCAGGTCATGATCCCACGGTCCTGGAACCGAGTCCCGCATCGGGCTCCCTGTTCAGCAGGGAGTCCCCTTCTCCCTCTGCCCGTCACCCCACTTGTGCTCTCTCTTGCTCCGCTTGCGCTCGCTCTCTCTCTCTCAAATAAATAAATAAAATCTTTTCTAAAAAAAGAAAATTCTGTTTATGTTGCAGTCAAAATTTCAAGGTCTCAGGCTACTCTAGTAAAGGACTCTCTCTGATCATTTGTTTTGCCTGCCAAGAGGTGAAGGCACCTTTCTATGTTAAAGAAACGAATTCCCCTCTTCTGGGACCTTTCCAGCCTCCCTTGCAGGTAGAGTTTAAATTTAGCCAATTGCTCACTTTTTCGAGTCTGCCAGCCAAAGTCTGAACTGGAAGCTAGTGAGGCCAGAGGCACGTGGCCACTCCTCTCTGACAAGGGGGGCAGCAGCAGGTGCAGCCAGCTCTGGTTCTCAGGGGCAGCAGTGGGATCACCTGCGGACCAGGCTGCAGTGGGATTTGGCCACTGCCATCTGCCTGAGTACTCTGCCAAGCCTGGTTCCTGTGCCCTGCAGAGATTCGGGGTTACTAGCCAATATCATGATAATGAGTCCCTCTTCAGCATAAATGAGCCCAAAACCATACTCCTTGCAACTAGGAAGACGACTGCATCACCAGATGTTAACTGAGCAGCTACTACAGTAAATCAGAGGGCTGAGCACCCCAGAGAATGTTCAGGAGGTCATCCCTGCTCTCATGCACACAAGGTAGAAAGTTAGAAGTGGCAAAAGATTGCTGGGTAGGAGCTACCAGATATCCAGAGCTGTCCAACAGAAATATAAGCCCCATGTGTTGATCAGCTCAGGTTGCAGTAGCAGAATACCATGGAGCGGGTGGCTCAAACAACAGAAATTTATTTTCTCACAGTTCTGAAGGCTAGAAGGCTGAGCTTAGGATGCCAGCGTGGTTGGCTTCTGATGAGAACCCTCTTTTTGGCTTGTGGCTAGCTGTCTTCTCACTGTGTCAGTACACAGCTAGAAGAGAGACAGAAACAGTGAGCAAGCTCTCTGGTCTCTTCTTAGAAGGGCACTAATCCCATCTTCAGGGCCCCAGCCTCCTGCCCTCATCTAAGCCTAATTATCTTTCAAAGGCCCCATCTCTAAATACCATCCTCCTGGAGGTTAGGGCTTCAACATATGAATTTGGGGGGGGAGCACAATTCAGTCCATAAGGCCATACATGTGATTTTACATTTTCTAGTAGCAACACAAAAAAATAAAAAGAAACATGTGAAATTACTTTGCTAAGTTGATTTGAGCACAGAAATGTCATCCCACAAAGAATTTAGTGAAGGTTCAGAATTCTCCAAAAACATCATTTGGAAAGCAGCCAGGTCCATCTCATCCTAGCCCATCACGGTCACTCCCTCCTCCTAGAATACTCATGTGGTTCGTCCCTCCTCCTCAGTCTCTTTGCTGACTGACTTCTCATTGTTGGAGCACCTTAGGGTTCCATCTATGGAGCTCTTATTTTCATTTATTTAAAATCACTCACTTGATAATCTCACCTATTTTCACTCCTTCAAAGCCATCTATATGTGATTCTTAAATATGTACAGATATATGCAGATGTATAGATAGATATAGGAGATATCGGTAGATAGATAATAGATATAGATAGATTGATTGATCTTCAGTCTGAAACTCCTCTCTGAACTCCAGATTTTTTCATCACTTAGATGTCTTCAAGGCATCTCAAACACACCATGTTCAAAACTGAATCCCTGATCTTTTCCCCCAAATCTACTCCTACTTTGTCTTCTTCCCAATGTCAATAAATGACAAACTGATCCTTTCAGTCACTCAGGCCAAAAACTGGAGTTGGCTTTGACTTCTTCCTTTTTTTTTTTTTTTAAAGATTTTATTTATTTATTTGACAGACAGAGATCACAAGTAGGCAGAGAGGCAGACAGAGAGAGAGAGAGGTGGAAGCAGGCTCCCTGCAGAGCAGAGAGCCTGATGTGGGGCTCGATCCCAGGACACCGGGACCACGACCTGAGCCGAAGGCAGAGGCTTTAACCCACTGAGCCACCCAGGTGCCCCTGACTTCCTTTTCTTCTTGTCTCACATCCAACATTAAACAGATCCTGGTGGCTTCACCTTCGATATTCATCCAGAATCCGACCACCATGTAACACCTCCATTGTTCCCACCATCGTTTGTCACCTGAAATAACCCACCTGAAATACCCGCAGTGGCTCTCCAAGTCATTCCCAATAAAGATGACTCCAAATAGTAACAATCCAGGCTCTGCAAGACCTCCCCTCTACCTCTCTGATATTCATTCATCCCACTTTATTTTTTTTTTTAATTTCACTCATTCATTTGAGAGAGAGAGAGAGAGAGAGCGCGCACGCACAAGCAGGGGGAGAAGCAGAGGGAGGGGGAGAGGCAGAGGGAGAAGCAGGCTCCCCACTG